CAACCTGGCATTTCCGCAATATAGATATCGCAATCAGGATGGTCAGCGTCCTCGTTTATATGACGCTGACACATCAACAACTGCCCCCTCGGATTAAGTCATAGGGAAAGAATAAAAAGCAACGTAAGACCGGAGCGGGCGGCGACTCACAATCTCAACTCTCGGATACCGACACTCTGTCGAACGCGTGCACGATATTGTAACGGGCAATTCTAACTCTCAAATCTCGAGCACCGACGATATTACGATTATGAAATTCTGAAGAACAGAATACAGATGTGTAAGAGTTTGTCCTGCAATTAATATTAAATAAATTTACCACACACAGTACAATCTTTTAAACTTGGAACGTAGTCCAAATACAAAGCGAAAGAAAACTTGTTAAAGAATCCATAAAACAAAGTATTCCACCCTTGATACATCCTGTATATTCCTGCATCTCTATAATACGGAATTACATCCTGCATTTGCATAATAGACACATATAACTAAAGTATTTAAAATTTGATATAATAAAAAGGTATACAAAAATTTGATATTTTACATATGACTAGTTAAGTCACCCAGTACTTAAACACTCTCGAAAGAACTAATACTTTTGTATATTGTATAAAAGCATATATAATACTGGCTAAGCAATATTTAAAATATGCTAGCGTTAGTAAACAATATTCCATTATGTGTTACACATATTCCATCCAACTAATCTCCGGTTTGCAGGTCCTGATTCCTCTGAGTGTGTACACATGTAGATTAGTGCTGAATGAAACATTTTAAATTGTAGATCCCCATGCCGTGACTTATTGTAGGTCGGGTAAACCTCTCTAATTGGCTGCTCCAAATATCTAAAAATAGTATTGGTATTTCACGAGAGAAAACAAAAACCAAAGTAACGTTGTATTTAACACCAATGTAACAGGACATATGCATATGTAAATTATCATATCATGTACCTTTCGTATAATCGAGCAAAATAGAGCGTTTAGACGAGTAAGATAAACACATGGTACAAGCCGTATGAATCACAGCTTTTTTCATGTAGTCGTGGCTTCGTAGATATAATAAAAACGAATATTTCAAGCAAATGAGTATTTCATCAAGGCATAAGTAGTGACCTAGTATGATACATATGCTAATATCGTTCATAACAACGCATGTATAAGGATATAGTTTAATAAGTTTAATGAGAGAGGATGCAATAAAATGAGTACAGATGTCGATCCCTCGTTCCTCTTTCTGACCCGCTGCTTCACCTGCCACAGCTTCAACTTATATTACAATTACATGTTATGGAACAAAAATACATACAATTGTATAAGTAGAACACAGACATATATCATATTCATACTATATTATAATATTAATTTCAATCAAATAGTGTCTCGATATTTCTTGTTACTTAAACTTAGAACGAGATTAATATTCTATATTATATATAATACCTCTATATATGTATATATGTAAAAAAAGAAAAAAAAACATAAAATGTATTATATTATAAACAAAATATAATCGGTCTTCATAATATTTTCAAAGATTATGAAGATTATGAAGCATCAACTATAGTAATTTATGATAAAAGTTATATGGAGATATAGCAGGCATTAACCGCGTCCCGATGGAAAGCTATCTGAAAACTATCTGAAATAAACAAATAATTACGGTAAAACACAGGTGATTCATGTACAAGAAACAGGTTTAATTTCAAAGGTGTAAATTGTATCATTATGAAAATCGTCACATGAGTCATGAGATTATCATAAATTTTATATTTTGTAAGTTTAGTTCGAATTCCCTGAAAGGTTCAATGGACATCAGTGGTATGTAACATTTCCTTATTCTTACACCATTGATTTATAGCATATCTGAATATCGAGCCAATATAAAGATAAGTATCAAATATCTTATTTACAAATCATCATAGGTAAGACATCTATTAAACAAACGTTATAGTTTCAAATAAATAAACAATATATAAACAGATCGTGATCACTTCTTGTTGCATTAATGTGTATGTGTAAACATTAATTTTTTTTAATATTTAACAGATAAATTAGAAGTGTCTACATTCTAATTTTGCTCGAACAGAAATCTTAAACAAATATCTTAACAACGTTATATTCTACAAAATCATTTCTAATGTATAACCTTTGTCCTATTTATCACTTTTGTATATAACCATATGCTTGTGTAAATATTTCCAAGAAATACATGTATGTAATGTGTGTATACATTCATATGTATATGTATGTGTATATATACACACACACACACATATATACATATATATATATATATATTACACATATCTTAAAAAATCGTTAGAATTAAAAAGAATAAATATATAGATTCACTCAAATTCATATTGGCTTAATATAAGAACTATAGCGTCAAGAAAATTGTATGAACATTTGCCATTATTAATTTTGAATATACAAGCACGATGTATCAACTTTGAACGTACGTTTCAGTATGTGAAAGTAAAGATGTATACTTATCACGAATACATACACGTAACCAACATCCGTAACTTGATTCAATAGTTTATTGAAACTGAATATTATTTATTTCATACAATTTCCCGCGTGCCCAAATACACACACACATTTTACACTCAACACATACTTACAGCTTGCCTTTCTCTCATATGGAAGTTTAATTTTCAGAAGTCGACTGTGAGTAAGGATAATTCTGATAGCCTGTCGGGAAAGACGGGTTCTGCTGCCCTGTCTGCGGCTGAGAATTAGATCCAGCGTTCGCCGCATAATAGCCCGCTGGAGCGGAGCCGGCATTCATCGCCGGGTAATTTCCATAAGCTTGAGGGAACGCATTAGGCGTTGTACCCGGTGGACCACCAGACTGACCCTGTAGAGTCTGCATTTGCTGTTGGGCCATTTGGTTCCCTTGCATCCCAAGCTACACATGAGCATTACAGGATTGCGGTAAATTATGACAAACGGCACGCAACGATATGACGATGATCAACGAGCGGCATAATTTAAGATAGGTATACCTTGCCCGCCTTCATTTGGGCTTCTATTGCTTCCGCTTCCTTTATTTTGCCGATACTTCTGTAATATTCCGCCCACTGGACGCTGTAATCAGCTTGACCTCCATTTTGTGCGGCACCTGCTTGCTGTTGCTGTTGACTCGGCTGCTGCTGCTGCTGCTGCTGCTGATTTGGTCCAGCAGCACCTCCCGGCGCCGGATTAGACTGATTTTGTGAATTGCCTGAGGTAATCGAGAAATCTTGTTGTTGTCTTTCTGTGAATATTCCCGGTGATAATGCGAAGTTACAAATATTCCCACCTCCTTGTGGATTATGATCCTGTTTCCCTTGTTTCGCCTGCTGTTCGATCATGTCCGCTTCTCTGTGCATACCCAATGATCGATAATATTCTGCCCATTGAGCACTGTAATCTGGCTGACCAGTTTGTGGATTGACTTGTACAGGAGCTTGATTAGCATTACCTGTGCAAAGGCAATTTACCACGAAATTAAAATTACAAATATCAAGCATTGCACAAGAAAGCATAAAAATACACGTACCTCCGTCGTTGGATTGTGGTTGATTCGGCCACGCTTGATATCCCCCAGTACCCGTATTCCAATTTGGATTATATCCGATTGCACCTTGTGCCCCGGTATACGAAGAACCGGCAGGACCCTTTGTNTGTGTCCACAGTAGATTTGTGACTTTAAGTATCGTTACACTGTTGTGCAACTTTTTTACCACATGTTATATCTGCGCAACGACAATAATGTAACGATAACAACATTATCGTTAGAAGAGAATAAGATTTACAGAATATTATATATATATATATATATATATATATATATAATATTCTGTAAATCTTATTCTCTTCTAACGATAATGTTGTTATCGTTACATTATTGTCGTTGCGCAGATATAACATGTGGTAAAAAAGTTGCACAACAGTGTAACGATACTTAAAGTCACAAATCTACTGTGGACACAAACATCATTAAACATACCATGCCCAGTTTCTCACTAAATATTCTCTTCGCATGTTCGACTTGCTCGGGATTTCCCCGGATAATAAAAATCTTCTCGTTTTCGTTACTCTGGTTTCTTCTGTCTAACTCACAATGTGCTCCCGTTTGTTGGTTTATTTGTTTAATAGTCTCACCACCTAGAAAAAAATGTGTAAACGTTTAAAGATCTCCTTGACAGGTGCTTCCAAACTTCAATAGCAACATATGCAAACTTGTTATGAAAAATCGCTACAAGAAACGTTTACTACATGCAAATAATTTTGCGAGGCAGTGATTATGTAAGAAGTTTTTGCTATACGTTAGAATCCATGTGACACATCGTACGCATTACACAATGTGAGTAAAATGAAACCTTTGCCAATTATAATGCCGCATTTGGAAGATGGAACAGTGAACGTTGTTTCGATTTTATCTTGCATAGGGCCGCCTTGTCGTCTATCCCAACTACCATATTCGTTTGGATTACGACTACCGCCAAAACCGTTACCTCTTGGACCACCCCTGCCTCCCATGTTACTTCTACCATCGTCTCTTCTCTGGAAATTAAAAATATAAAATATAATTTTAAATTAATAGTTCTCTCTCTCTCTCTCTCTCTCTCTCTCTCTCTCTCTCTCCAGAATCAATGGCTACGACATCCATATATTGTGTATCAGTTACTCCACATAAGAATGTTCTAATAAATTTATGACTATTATGAAATATATATACCATAACGCTATCAATCAGCTCTTGAATTCGTTGACGAGCCTGTTCGACTGCTTGATGCTTTCCAGATAGCAAACATTTTCGATCGCCAGGGCCATCTTCCCGTCCTTGTTGGAACTGAACCTTGGCTCCACTTTCCGCTTGTATCTTTTTTATCATATCTCCACCTTTACCAATAACAACACCCACTGCAGCTCTTGGAACAAGTACCTACATTGTACATATAATTTTACACATATAGAATAAACCTGTTACCAAAATAACAAGTGTATCTGTATCATAGCTAAGTCCTAGTCTAATGGCATTCTGTTAATTACATCAGTGTAATTAACGAAAATGCGCATATATTTGATTATTAACCTCCACTCCATCGTTATTTGCAGGTCCATGGTTAAAACCATTATCATTGGAATAATTTCCTGCTCTATCGGTACCCCTTCCTCCTCTATGAAACATTTGCATCTCTTTTTCAGCTATTAATTCATACACTAATTGCTTTGCATGCTCAACTTTTTGAGGATCCCCTGTTATTCTAGGGAAGAAAACAATAAATAAATTTTAAATATTAATATAAATTTTAAATAATATCAAATCATACAAAAATATATATTTTAAATAATATCAAATCATACAAAACATATCTCGTTTTAACAGAAAAAAAATTAACAAAAAGTCTTACGTAAGGAAAAAAAAAGAGAAGATCTTCGTCTTACCTCAATGGTTTCTCTTGTTCCTGAGACGGCCCCTCCTGTATAACAACCATTTTAGCACCAGACTTCTCTTGCAGCTGTTTTATGGTTTCCCCGCCTTTGCCGATTATCAAACCAACTTTAGGGCCTGGTATCATTATCTCAACAAATCCTGGATGACCCATCATTCCGCCACCGCCACCACCCATATTCATGTCACCGATTCCCTCGCTTCTGCTTCTTTGATTCACAATTGACAAGACCAATTCTTTAGCTCGGCTGAAACAGATAAAATAAGAGTGTGCAATATATCTTCAACTAAAATTTTTTCACACATGTCAAAAGATTCAATCAATATACAGTAAGATTTGTTTGCAACACATAAATATGCACTATTCTATCTATTGTGGGCCAAAATGTTATATGTCACATTTGTCTTTGATAATCAATAATGCCTTTAACAATTAACGGTGCAATAAAAAGGTCTCAAGGTTTTTAAGGTTTCAAAGGTTTTGTGTTAAAATACTATACATTTAGTCAATAAGCAGTTTCAAATAAATAAAAGTTCAATTTTCTTCATGTTGTGATTAACGCGTCCCCATGCATATCCTATCCTCCTTCCCTCTTCTCTCTTTCTCTCTTTCTCATCCTCTCACTTTCTCTCTCCCCTTCTCTCTCTCAATCTCTCTCTCAATCTCTCTCTCTCTCCATACCCTATTAAAAGCAAAAAACTATTAGTAAATACAAAATTATTAAATTAAAAAGGTCAACTTATTGATCGATTTTCAATGGCCAGAAATTCTGAAGCATATAGAAAGTCAAGTTTGAGCCCGCTATTCGCATCCAGGAGCTAAATAAAGAGATTCTGTAAAACATTTCATAATTTCAATATGCATAAGCATATGTCCTATGTTTGTAAAATGCATGTTAACATGAAATTTACAGCATACAGAATACACATACAAACTATGTTATCAGAACTAATCGTGCCCCAATCATATCTCTAATAAGTGGAGTCATAAAGCGTTGCAATATTCACATATTTATCACGATATTATCGCAATGTCATGGTTTTATATAAAAAAAAAAAAAGAAAGATTGTTTAGTTTGTGGGAAATAGTAAGATGGGATTGTGGAGTACAATTCACATTAAAATAAAATTAGAACAAGATATTCTTATATAAATTTAAGGAGGATAGCAGATTTGCTTGGCTGATTTATAAACAATTTTGGACAGAGTATTTTTCACAACTCGGTCTATAAATATTTCGAACCAACAGTCATATACTTTTACTGCAGTAAAAGACAAGTAAACACATTTAATATCAACAGATGAAAATAAGTCCTCATCATTCAACATGTGTATATAAAGTGATGATACTGCATTGCATACAAAATAGTTAAAATTAACAAAATAAGAAGGGAAAAACAAGTTACTTGACAGCTTCTCGTGAACCAGTTAGTGTACAAACGCGTTCAGGCAGCCCACCACTTTCTGGTGCCATTTGTATTTTACATCCTGTTTCGCTCTGCAATCTCGTGATCTGTTCACCACCTCTTCCAATTACTGTAAATATATTATTATTATTCAAAAGTAATTTTACATATGCATAATCATATGACACATATTGTGTTCTCACTATTGCATTTCAATTTTAAATATATGAGAACAAGTATAATTAATATTAATATGTAATAAAAATTGTATATATTAGTCATTATTTTATAGGAAATATAATATATAATATGTAACATTATTATTAAAAATAATATATAATGAAACAAAAATATTACAACAAATACTTAAACTTAAACAAATACTTAAATTTACGATATAGTCTAGGAAATATAACATAAAATATTATTTACACTGGATATATTTACCCATACAACACGATTATACACATACATATGTATATGTATATATATATATATATATATTCCTTTTCCCTATTATTTTACTTACTCAAACCAACCATTTTGTCTGGAACTCTAATATCTTCATTGCATATACCACCTATATTGGAAGAAGACGTTTGTGGCCTAGACGATTGGCTACCTGAATCTCCAATGGAATTGTTACCTCCAGGTCCTCCACGAATACCTATTAAAGGATCCGCCACTAACGCTGCCATTTTCTTTGCTTCTGGCTCTAAATATATAAAATATATTATATGAGATATATAAGAAAAATATGTATATGTATATATTACAAAGTACACAAAAGTATGAGCTATTTTATAATAATAAAATAGGTTAAAAAGAGAAGTGTTAAATAAATATCACCTGAACTATCTTCAAGAGGTCGCTTTAACTTGGAATCTTGATTATTTTGTGCACCAGCTGGATTTATTTTTGCGGCAATCTAGCAAAATTAATTAAAAATATAAAATTTAGAAATTAATTCCTCCCCTAATATGTAGCATACGTGTACTTGCTAAAATACATAGATAAAATAATAAATACAATATATTAAAAATATAAATCATATATATGTATATTTGTAACTTTCACCTTCTTGACGATGAAAAACTATTGGCTAAATTTAGTTGTTTCTTTTTGCTGTTTTGCACTGACAATCCATGAGCTTGAAATGAGTGTACCAAAGATATATTGATATAGAACCTTAATGTAGATATTATTTTCCCCCCCAAAAATCACTAACACTTATTACACACAGATATACAAGGCACACGTAATCGGGCAACTGCCAAATCGGCGCACAAGTTTTTCGTAATTCAGCGAGTTATCAGGTTGCAAAATATATAAGGAAAATCATGGAGGGAAATAATGCAGCGAAGAGTAAACGAGATCTGTATAACCGTCAAGATTGACAGAAAATCCCGTACTCTACGAAACGACGTGACGCTTCTACACATCGAACGAGCTCGGAGATATGAGCTGTTCTTGGCGGGTAACGCAACGGGTGGCGTTCACCCCGCCTGACGCCGCGATTATCGGAGCGGCGCGTTATTGCGACATATGCACGAACAAATCGCGATTACCTGTTTGGCACGTTGCAGTGCCGCCGCGAACGCGGTGCTTTGATTAAAGGTTTGAGGCGGAGCAACCGCTGAATAGTCACTCATGCTGGTGCATGAAGTTGTGGGACGGTGAAGGACTGATACTGTTCCTGGCCGTTGGCCGTAATTATCCAACTGATCGATCGGTGATGTGCGAGCTGTGTGCGGGATCCTGGGAAGAGCACGAAGACGAAATGCTAAATCCGCCACCACGAAAACAATATCCTTGCGATGCACAACGCGGGACTTATGGAACGAACGTTTGCGGGAGGTTTACGAGCATGAAAGAACCGTACTTTCATTCGGAGGGGGGACCGCACGGCGCAAGCGTCGGTCATTGCATGCGTGTCCTTTAGAGCGAAGACTCTCATTCTTCTGCCGAAAACGGAATTTGTTTCGTAAAAGAGACTATCTCCTCGCCGATTGGTCCGTCCCAGCGACGGATCACGGTCGTAGTCGCTGCTATTAGCCCGACTACGACTAAGAGTAGGATTTCACTTGACGCTGCAAATGCTTCGAAACGCCGTACAGACTAATCATATTCTTCCTTTAAGCGCTCCCAAATGTTTGCAGCTTTAAGTGGATCGTATCCTACAACGAGTTCTCCTGCGATCGCACCGTAGACGACGTTTAAAGGCTTTTTACACCTATCGTAAGCCAGCCTTATGTAAAAGATTATTTGTATAAAAAATATGCAAAATGTATTTTGAAGGGACAGTTTTGAGCTTTTCGTTCATTTGTCGGCAAACGTCATAGGCCCGTATCGCGCTACTGATTGGAGATTGAGATTGAATTGAAATTTGACCAATCAGTGCAAAGGTCCCTAAAATTCAATTAACTTTATACTGATTGACAAATTCAATTTAATCTCAATCCGTAGTCTGATACGGGTTTTATATCGATTGATTCACTCTCTGTGAACGATTAAAACCGAAAAGACACTTTTGCTTCTATACTGAATATCATGCCTTTATTCCTTTCTAAAATATTTAATAGTAAAATATTTTCGAGAAAAAATTCTATTTGATAGATTTCATTGATTACGTGCATTTAGTATTGTATAATTGTTCATTGAGCGCAACCATTGAATACACTCATTTTCGCAGTTCCGATTAAAGATAAAGAAATCAATTATCGAGAAAATTTAAGATACAAATTTATGAAGAAATACACGAATGATGTGGATAATATACATTTTAGAACAGGGTTCTTCGTTACATTTATTATAATTGTCTCATATAAAAACAATAAATTATTTAATAATAACGTGTCTTAAAATATAAGGTAACAGAAAGAATTATGCGTTTTATCTGTTCGTATCTGTACCTAATATAATACATGGAAAATATTATTATTTAATTACTTATTATCCGTATATTGTGACAAAACAGTTTAGTCCGCAAATATATTCAATTGTACACACATCTCTGTTACCTTCTACTGGAAGTATTCTTGTCCGATTTATAATAAATAATAATAATAAAATAATAATAAATAAACCTATCTTAAAATAATACTAACCATATTTAAGTACAAATAATAAACTTAAAAAATCTAGAAAAAACAAAATATAAGTCCAAAAGACAATATACATCAAATTTAGTGTTATCAGTTGCCAAGATTCGATAATTATATGAAAATAATTTCTTAAAATTGTATTTTATCCTATTTTACCCTACTTAAACCGGTAAGTACATCGAAGGGAATTATTATTAAAGTTCTTTACTTTCTGGCGGCACCTCTTTCTTACGTATTCTTTCTAATAGAGCCCATGTTATGTTACCAGGTATTCTCTGATGTTTCTTTATTAAATCTCCGAGAGCATTAGCAACCTGAAAGTACATAAAAAATTTTTTTTTTTAATAATCGATGCCGTTAGAAAGCGCGGTATGTTTTATAATCGGTAATTATGCAACATTGTGCAACACAGAGGATGCAGCTCCTTAACATGTCACAATCAATGAACAAATCACCCCTTATACTGCATGATTTATCATTAAACTTCCTAGTTATCTACCTTTAACTTCAATTCTTCAGGCGTAAGACTTCCATCGTATGGAATTGGCTCACCCACGTACGTTATCATCTTTACCGGAAAGCCACCATAGACTGGTGCCATCGGCAGCTTGGTTTTGGCGTATATCCTCGACCACATCCTTCTCCCGCAACTTACCGTTCTAAATGCCTCTCTGATATTCTTTGTAAATAACGGAACTACACTCTAACAGTAATAGAACAGTTTTCTTTTATGATGGAATTCAAATGAAATTATATGAAATCCCAAGGGGACATACCACTTTCGCGTCGAGAGCCACCTTGGCAAAGCCCACTCTGTTCTTCCACATAAGTTGATAATAAGAATCGCCAAATTGAGCTTCGTACACACCGCCCGGAGAAATGGCAAGCATATTTCCCTCCTTCAAGATAGTGGAACACGTTTGAACAGTACCAGGTATTACTCTCATAACGTCAGTCAATATAGACCATCCAGGGATATTAAAGAGGAATCGATCCGCTACTGTATGGACTAGTCTTGAATTAAATAGAAATATTTTAGCTATGAAATAATACAGATCAACCGGGAGAGCTCCGTGATAATATACAAATAATACTGGTTTGTCCTGCGGGATATTTTCTAATCCCACAACTTCATATCCTGTAAAAAATGCATTTCATTAGTATCTTTGCAGAGATTTTTGCTTGTAACATATCTGTACAGATAAATAATATAAAGATATGTCTGATCCACTTGATAAAACTTTTATCTATGCACATGAAACTTCTTTAATAATCAAATATACCATGCCAAATCCATCCGTGAGCATCCCAGACAGCTGCAACTGTATAACGCGCTGCATTCCGCCAGTCAGTACCATAGGCGTTTCTTAATTTAACTCTGAAAGAAATACATAAATTAAAAGATTTATGTTTATTTAATGGTCTTATCAAAGTAGTTTTTACAGATTAATGTACATATTAAAATGAAACTTATATACATTTCACAGATATAAAAGCATATTATTTCGTTGAAATTCTACTCATGGTAGTTGTTAATTTGTTAATCGTATTATAGTCAATACATAAATTATATTTCTTTCAAACCTGTGCAACTTGTAGACATACAATATCAAACAAGTTAGATACAACAGCAGCACAATCGCAAACGGGAGTAGAAATGTTACAAGAAATGGCATCAACAGCCATGACAGCCATGTAACATCCACATCAACATATTCAGCTGGAAACAATAGAAAATATATCCTTTAAAAACTATTGGATTACAAACAAATGCATATCACTTTGTAAGGACACACACACGCATTGTTAAATATAAAAATCACAAAGTATAAAACTTAAGCATACAAACAAACTATAAGGTAACATGCGAATACATTGCTATAAAACTAAAATAATGTTAAAGTGGAACTATACACTTGCCCAAATGTTAAGTGGACACGTAAATAAAAAGGCATTTACCTATAATATTTTCTATCATTGATCGTATGTCGTGCGTTAAATGGACATGTAAATAAAAAGGCATTTACCTATAATATTTTCTATCATTGACCATATGTCGTGCGTAATTGAAAACATGTTTAGCTTTATGAGTGATGTTGAAAATAAAAGGTGGCTAATAAAACGATCGTGAGTCTGATATTTCTGACATAGGAAGCACCCACATATTCACTGTCGTTTATGAGAAATTCAGACTTTGGTTAATTGTCCCGTCGCTTTCCCCCCCGTCATTTCTGATTATTTAGCACACGTAGCGCACGTTCATTTAAATTCCAAAATACCAGCTTTTATTGGCATTGAACCCGATGAACCGTTATCGACCGATTAAAATTCGTTCTATATTATCATATGTATATTTCGTATCTATCCAACTTCCGCTTCGTACCGCGGCGTATCGCCGAAGAACTTGTTGCTCCTTCGTTGAGTCATACCACTTAAAAATAGAAGATCTTTGTTTTGGATCTGCCTTCGAGGCGAGATACGATTTGGAAAAAAAAAAAAAACTGATAATCGCTTGATATCCAACCGTTGAATCACTTCAGAACAAAACGATTCCTCCGATCTGTCGTGCCAAGACTCGATCGTGCTACTTAAACAATCGAATGTTGTACGTCGGCTCGCTCGTCGTTGACTCGCACCGCTACCTCGAATCCGGTACGGCGCGGTGGCGGCTCGTAGCGGCTCCACGTCGATCTTCGGCCTCGACATCGCCCATCCCTGGTGACGGTCGTCCCGTGCAAACGCACGTCTACGTAGTCACGCTGCGTGACTCACGTACGTACGGGAAGTAGGGTGTATGTGTATGTGTGTGTGGTGTGTAGTACACAGATGATACGGATTTTGCAATTGCAGTCGTCCCCGAGTATTGAGTCTCGCTCGCGACCGTGCCGTAGCTCGTAACGCAATTCTGCCGACTAGCTATGCCATTCTTCGTCCGTTTGAAGGCGACGGGAAGCAAGTAAGATCGCGCGAATGATATTCGATCGCGAGGACGACTCGCTGGATGCTCAACGGTGCATGCGCTGCCGTGGAAGGACAATCCCCACACGTTCGTGAATGCAATTCTACCACTATCCGGGACACGTATGACGGGCATTAACCGCTTCGTTTTACCTGCATCTTGGCAATAGGAGTTGGCCAGATGAAGGTACATTCATCGCCGCGCTCGGTCGAGCGTTCAGATAATATTATCACCGTGATCGCCTAGATCAGATACGACAAAATTCAACACAGGGGACACCTGCGCCGCGTTCTGTTTATTGTTATTGTCGTGCGGATTTCCCACCCGATTTTCTCCCTCTTGCTTAAGCGTAATTTAATTTTTAATTGCATGTTTAATGATCATCTCAACAGTTTCGCACGTCCCTCACGGCACGCTTGTAATGAATGCGCTGTTTATCTTTGCGCGCAGGAAAAATACCTGTGCGGAAGAGTATGAATGAAACGATTGAACAATACTTCGTACATATCCGTGAAGATAAAATTTATTGCTTGAAATGATTATTTATTATTGTTTAGTAATTGATGAAGGATTGAGAAATATTCTTTGTTCGAGACTTTTGCAAAATTTTGCTCACTGTGTGCTCTGATAGGTATTTTCCGTACTGCTCTAATTGAATGGAGTGTATAGAAAGAATATATTATTGATATTCTGATAGATAATGTCAGACGATGATGCTGCATTGGAATCAATGGATACTGAGGAAGAGATCTTTTGTCCTCGCACCCGCAGCTTGGAGTCAAATGTTAGACGGTCCAAGAACTTGCGCAAGCTGAGGTCACATTCCGGCTCTACGTCTCATATAAACAATTTAAGCGTACGCCGTAGTACACGTAATAGGATGCAGACTTATGACAACCTTAATACAAGTTGGATCTTAGGTATGCATAAGTTATATTATTTTGTACATGTACCTTCTACTCGAATGTAGCGCAACAAAATTCTGAAATGTTTGTGAAAATGCGCAGGAACGCAAACTTTAAAAGGATATCCGATGTTTCAACAACATGCTTCTTCTTCGGATAAAGAGATAGATGATGTTCCTGGCAGGAAGCGTGATCTCAGAGATCGTATGCCTTTGAGATCTCGCGAGAATCATCCACCTAATAAAAATTCAACGAGACATATTAGAGACAGGACGGAACACGATCGACAAAATAGCAGGGAGCTCAGAGGCAGGCTTAGGGCTAACTCGGAAGTAGAGCTTAAGGAAAAGGCAGAACAAGAGAAGGATGTTACTACCGAACAACCAAGGCAGACAAACGAAGAAAAAGACACTAGGTATGTTTTTATCTCGATAAAATGTGCACTCCAGGGAGGATTTGTTTCTAATGTAATTTTGAAATTAAAATGTTCTTTAGGACGAGAAAGTCGGACAGTCCTAGCAGATTTCGAGAAGGCCCTGTGACCAGATTGTGCGGAAATACAGTGGAAAAAAATGAGAAGCCCAAGACGGAGCAGGACGAAGCAGATGATGATAGTTCGCGGGAAAGTGAAAAACCAGATAATAACGACAATTCTGAAAATGAGGATGTAAGCAGCTTTATACATGTAACATTTTCTACAATTATTTTTTCCCAAATATTTAAAGTCATACATCAACATATATGTTATTAACTCATCGTAGTTATTAGTTGAATAACTATGAGCTTAAATAACTAAAATCGGTATTCATAGTCGGATCTTATATTTAAGATTGTTTTAGGCTCATCTTCAGATGTTTCATAGCTGATAAAATGAGCTGAAGATCATCTGAACAGTATCTGAAGATGAACTTAGAACGGTCTTAGATGTAAAATCAAACTATGACTGCGGTTTGATTCGCGCTTAGAGCGCTATAATCGTCATGTTATCTTTCTTTGGCATGTAATAAAGATAGAATGACGCTGTAGGTGTGGAACGGACGGCGGCCTATGAATACCGGCCTAAGAGTCTGATAAATATTTATTGTTATATTTTCATTTTTTATTACGTAATATTTTTTTCTTATTGTTATATAGGGATACGAAGATATGTATACACGTATTAAAAGAACAAGACGGTCGACTCAACGACAACTACCAAGGGGTAAGATATATTTAAGTTCAGATTGTTGTTGGGTAAACAAAATAGAAATAAAGAGCATATTTAATGGCTCAGACACAATGAAAGAAATAAGGAGCAAAGAATGGTATATTTCTCCGTATGTTTACTTTTTATTTTAATTTCTTTCTTATCTGTACACAGTGGTGGAGGTGGACAGTGATCTAAGTGAATCCTCGGATTCTCCCGGGCCTAGGAAATACAGTTTACGTCAAAAGAAACCTACCGTAGATAGATTCCAAGCCAATGTAGAGCCAGTTCGGCGATCTATTAGGGCTCTTAGAAGTGTTCTCAGTAATTCGATGAGAAGGAGGAAGCACAGAACTAAAACCACGAGTTCTAGTGATTCCAGTGATTCGGAACCTCAACGTTATGACAAGAAAAAGGGCAAGAAAGCGAGGTGGTTATTTATAAACAAATTCGTAAACAAATTTTTCCGAGTACACTCTTTTTAACAATTTTGTTAATGTAAATATTGTACATTCTTGCAGACAATCGGCGATACCACAGGGTGGCCCGCCAGATCGAAAAGCTGACATAAATCCTATCACCTTAGACACTAATATTAGATTTAGCGACGTTGGGGGTTTGGAATCCCATATTCACTGCCTTAAGGAGATGGTTGTCTTTCCTATGATGTATCCGGACGTTTTCGAAAGGTTTCACATTACCCCACCGAAGGGTGTCTTGTTTCATGGCCCACCAGGTATTCGGAGAGCATACTTCGGTCATTTTTAAATTGAATAAAGTCGAAGTTGTTCACCTCAATGCGTAACTCGAAAATTTATTCAGGGACCGGCAAGACACTGATAGCCCGGGCGTTAGCCAATGAGTGTAGTCAAGGTAACAAAAAGATGGCATTCTTCATGAGGAAGGGAGCTGACTGCCTGTCAAAGTGGGTCGGCGAATCGGAACGTCAATTGAGATTGTTATTTGAGCAGGCTCAACAGATGAAACCGTCCATAATATTTTTTGATGAAATAGATGGTTTGGCGCCTGTCAGAAGCACCAAGCAAGATCAAATCCATGCCAGTATCGTATCCACACTCTTAGCGCTCATGGATGGTCTCAGTGACAGAGGAGAGGTAATAGCACCAATGCTGAAAGGTTGTTTGTCAATATTCCTCATGATAGAATTTCGTAATTTCATATATTTTTTCTTTCTTAAAAAAGGTTATAGTGATCGGTGCAACAAACAGAATCGACGCCATCGATCCAGCCTTGCGAAGGCCCGGTCGCTTTGACCGTGAACTCTTCTTCCCGCTACCAGCCATGAAGGAGAGATTAGAAATTCTGAAGATTCATGTGAGCAAGTGGAAAAATCAACCGTCTGATCAGCTACTGGAGATATTGGCGGAGAAATCTACCGGTTACTGCGGCTCGGACCTGAGAGCCTTGTGTACCGAGGCAGTGCTGCAAGGATTGAAGAGAACCTATCCGCAAATTTACATGACAGACAACAGACTATTGCTGGATCCAGAGAAGGTCGAGGTACGTTTCGCGTAACGCGAGAAATAATTATCGGTAATGTATAATTATAAGACTATGTATTGCCAGAAACTTAATGTATATCGAAAACTATATGTTTATTAGATTTTATAATTTATTTCGTGTTTTACTAACTGTGCTAATTAATAGGTGCAAAAACGTGATTTCATGCAAGCAAGCTCTATCCTCGTGCCGTCGTCGCACAGAGTCGCGCCATGCGCGGGAAGGAAACTGCAGCTTTTTATGAAACCACTATTGGGGCCTCCACTGGAAGAACTGATTGTGTTAGTGAAAGGGATATTTCCTCAAGGTGTAAATCCCGCCATGGCAAAGTAATTATTTTTTACTCACATGTTTATGTACACACAATGTTATAACAATGATAATATTTATTGGATTCATTTGAACCAACAATTTATATATTTCCATTCCTCTTTTTCTAGAGTAAAGCATGCTAAAGGTATTCATCGTCCGAGAGTGCTCATTTCTGGTGGCAATCTATCTGAAGGTCAGGGGCCGAATTTAGCGCAAGCATTATTGTATTGTATGGAACATCTGCCTGTACAGATCTTAGACGTCAGCACGCTGTTTGCAGAAAGTGCCCGATCACCGGAAGAAACTTGTGTACAGGTGAAATAATATTAACATATATCAAGTTTAAGATTCTCACGTTTTTGTTTAAAATTACTTGAATTTTGTAATTGCAATAATTACATTTACAAATTGTAATCATTACAAATAATACGAAGGTATTTTGATCCATTTTCCATTTTTTTAGATTTGTGTATTTAGGATTTAATTTTATGTTAGAGGAAAATAATCTTACCCTCTATTGAATTCTGTGTTATAGGTATTTAATGAAGCTGCTAGAAACGTCCCGTCCATAATTTACATTCGGTCGATCGACCAATGGTGGCCTCTCGTTCCGGAGACGGTAAAAGCAGTCTTTCTCTGCCGTATCGCAGCACTAGATCCTTCATTGCCGATCTTAATTCTCGCTACGAGCGATGCGACGTATCAAGATCTCCCTAACCAATTAAAAAGCTTGTTCAGCGAATTGCGTGGCGAAGTATATTCCATGAAGACACCCACCGCCGAGCAAAGAATGAAATTCTTCCGACCTATATTTATGGTTCAAAGTATGAGGCAGCTACGGATCAAAAGCAACAAAATAGAAGATTTAGAAACACTGCCACTAGCGCCAGACCCGCTGCCAAAGAAACTGACGAAAGAAGAGAAGCAAATCATGTACGAGAAGGACGAGGTCTCGTTGAGGGAACTACGGATCTTCCTGAGGGAAATTTGCGCCAAATTAGCGAGAAACCGACAGTGAGTATACACACCGAATAGAATTGTTTCCGCCTTCCTCTTTCCTTTTCACAGCGTGTGTCTAACGCGGAGTTGCACTACCGTTTCAGATTCTTCATGTTTACGAAGCCAGTGGACACGGAAGAGGTGCCGGATTACAACTTGATAATAAAGCAACCGATGGATCTGGAGACGATGATGACGAAGATCGACATGAATTGTTATCTGTGCGCTCGTGAATTTCTCGACGACATCGATCTCATATGTAGGAATGCTCTGGAATATAATCCGGACAGGTCAGTGGCTCAAGTGAAAAGTAACTCTACGTTTTCCGAAAGCCGTTAATGCGCGTGCGTAAACTAAAGCGAATCGAGAGAGAGAGAGAGAGAGAAAAAAGTGCTTCCCGTGAGAGTATCTCCGTTACAGAAGCCGTTTATCGATATCATATTATATATCATAAGGTTCACCTTCAGCGATACTATCCTCCTCTTCTATACTGACGTTCATATTGTATGTTTTCATGTCAGCTTACGTGATAGGCCCTCCCTCGGGATATTAAAGAGGTAGTTGAGCTTTTCCTGTTTATCCGTTGCTGTTACCGCTGCATAGATAGATACAGTGGTTTTCAATCTAAAATAGCGCACCACATATAATCGTTGATTTTGGTTTCATTAGACACACCATTACGACTACTAATTCACAGTGCATTATTGAAAACCACTCCCATTAGTTTACCGTGCTTTTTCTGTGGATGGAATGCTAGAAACCCGAAATAACCTTGTCCCGTGTACGCCACTGACACGTTTCGTTCTCGCCCCCGCAGGGATCCCGCGGACAAACTGATAAGACATCGGGCATGTTCCTTGCGCGATAATGCATACGCCTTGATAAAGGCCGAGCTGGATTCCGATTTCGAGGACAAGTGCCGCGAGATATCCAAGAATCGTCGAATATTAGAAAGTAACTGTAACAACGAGGAAGAGAATAAACCCGTCAAAACGGAATCTACTTCCACGAGTGAACGTACGGAAAAGAAAGATTCTGTAAATTCTAGTCATTCTCTCGTCGTGAACGGAAAGAAATTTGGTAGTTCGAGGAAACGCAAGATACCAGCCTGGGCGCGGGGTTATGTGAAGAAGGTCCAAAAAAAGAAGAAGATCGCTTTCGACGAGAACGTCATCGAACTGACGAGTAAACCATGCAACGAAACGACCAGTATCGATCTAGAAAAGTTCCAGGAATTCGAGACGGAGGCTCATAATGTTTTGAACGGGCACATAGGATTGTACGATAACACCGATTCGGAGAACGACTCGCAAAATGAGAATTCGAAGGAGACACAGGGGAGCCAGAACGACAGCATACTGGACCAACAGATAGATAATCTCGACAGTACGGAGTTATCTCTCGCGGACGAGGACAGGCCCGTTGGGAACGGTGACTCGAATTCGTCGTCTCGGCGCGAAAGCATGGATGAGTTGTCATTCGCGATCGAAAGCGATTCTAGTCGGGATAAAATTGAAGAGAACGAAAAAGTTATTATTGACAGAAATGAGCTCGAGAACGCGCTACACTTCACAGTGTCAACGACGAAGAACTTTCCTGTCGAAGTGCTGTGCGATATTTATGTGCAACTGAGCAGATGCGTTGGGAAATATGCTCACAACTACGATAGAAAATCACTGCCAAAGGTAAGCGTGTCTCTTTGCGATCGTAGAGAAAAATCGTATCGCGGTAAAAATGCACTGACCATATTTTTAATATAGACACGTCTATTCACTAAATTATCGTTGCTTGTATTGTGCGCAGGACTTGCTCAAGGAAGTGGAAAAGTTTGCAGAGTACAAGACGCAGCGTTATTAGAGTTATAGTACGCAAGTACAGCATTCAATGATAAAATGCAGTATGTTGCTGACACGAGACAAATGTGCTATGTAAAATCATACCACCATAAATATCTTTAGCGACGAGTCAGATCGTTTCTTTTGTATATTTATACTGAATGCAAAGCCGAATTATCACTGTTATATCGAACGAAACTTTGGAATGGTATATTTTTTTGGTTGTTATACTGCCAAGCTTTACGTAAATAACATCACGTATCTGCAACAATCGCATTTGTTATATAAGATAGCGGATAATTAGCTTTAGTTGAAGATTGAGTTCTATATACTTAATCGGATTGGTTTTCTGTACATATTGTAAAAGCGTTGTAAATGATAGATGATTATTTGATATTTCATACGAGGTAACGTTGCACCGTAATGATTCTCTGCCGCGAGTAATGAGAAAAAGGGAACTGCGTTGTCTACGTGTATAACACGTTTTGTTATTTGCAACAATTATTTAGACAAATTCTTTCCTTTTTTCTAATTCAATTACAATTTGCTTCCGCGCACATATATGTTTTTTCTTACCTTAATTACCATTACACGCTACCATTACATTATCGTTTTATCGTTTTCATCCAACAAATAAGAATAATCATATTATTACTATTATTATTAGAATTATTTTTATTAATATCATTATTCTGATTTTGTAACTATTTTATCATCGAGATTATATTACCATACCTACATAACGCAGTCACACGTAAAACAAAGCTAATAATAACGGACATTATTGCATAATCCTTCGATCATACGGACTTCCTTTTTTCAGAACATTTGTAAGAAAAAGATTTCAAATTTGAAAAGATCAAACGAAAATATATCGGGTCTATTTTTGTCACGTCCTTCAAAATTATCTCTGAAATTCTGTGTAATCGAGCATACAATAAATCACAAAAATGCAGGAATTTGTACATTGTGTACTTAACTATTTCCGTTCTGATAGATTTCACCAGATTCATTAACATGAATGAATAATTGTGTGCAATTTTTAATTCATTTTGTAGTTTTATGACGCGAGTTTGACGTTTTATTATATTGCTGATAAGAGACTATCCCATTTCATATTCAAACACACATTTACAATCATGTAGGGAGAACCAAAATATAAAACCGTTGAAAATATATTTCTATTGATCTGCCAAGATCAAGGTTCTCTTCTTACATCAATATACCTCGCGCTACAGAGTGTATCAGTTCGAATTATTGTTAGTATAGAATGATACGTTTTGTGTAAAATGATGGCGAGTATCAGAAGTCATCCTTTTGAGAAAACAAATCCACATATGAGAATCTTTAGGTATGATTTATAGAACTGGAATTAACCCGGTGAGCATACGATGTTCAAAATCAACGCATAAGATGTCTTTAAGACTATTTTAAGCGGGGTTTACAATGAGCATTTAAGGTGTAAGATTTAAGAAATTGACCAATCACAATTGATTATTCTTCTATGATTCGATTATGATTAGTCAGTTTCTTAAGACTTAGAACTTAAAGCACCTATTGTAGACTAGGATTTACGGCGTCTTAACTCATTAGCTGCCACGATCCCCATTTGGGGCTCAAAACAAAACATAATTTGAATATAATTATACTGTTACACAAGTTTTTGTGCATATATATAACTTATCCTGCCAAAAATTTCAAAAAAAAAATTTGGCAGTTAATGGGTTAAAGGCATGTCTTTAAATCCTTGTCTACAACATTGCTTTAAGACGTAAGCAGTAAACAAATTGACCAATTAGTTCCGGTCTACAATAGATGCTTTAAAAAATTGACCAATCACAATCGAATTATAGAAGAAAAAACTAATTATGATTAGTCAATTTCTTAAATCTTACACCTTAAATTCTCATTGTAGATCCTGCTTTACAATCGTTTATTAGAAGAATAATCGACTGTAGTTAGTCAATTTGCTTACGACTTAAATCCAAGTTATAGACGAGGTACTTTAAAGCTGTCTTAAAGCTCATCTTATGCGTCCATTTTGGACGTTGTGATCACTGGGAAGGCATTATATTCAAAGAAGCGGTGAATATGTACTTGTATAAAGTAAAATTTTGTTTTGGATTTAATATTGATTATTAATAATTATTATATTAATTAATATAATAATACACAATTAAATTTTATTTTATATATTATAAAATAAAGTTTTACAATTGTAGGATTATATTAATTAATATGTTATCAGTGATTAATATCAATTATTACTTATTTATATAGTAAGAATATATATACATAACATATTAATATGATAATTATACCGTTTTGAACCGAATCATATCATCTTCGCTAACTGAGCAATTAAACGATCAATATCCTGGTTAGGAAGGTGATTCTTTCTCATTTTAATGACTTCTGATTCTATCCCGTATTAATACAGTTCAGTTCATACTTAAGGACAATTCGAGGTGCGACTAATAATCCGCAATTTGAATAGACCAAAGTTGTAAAAAGTATAAGATTTTACTCATTGAAGATGAAAAACAGGGCACTCTTACATACACATACATTCTTATAAATATAAAATATCTCGATAAAGTGCTCGCTTTACAGTGGCGGCTAGTTAGTCATGTTATGATAGTGTCTCGAGTCATCTTCAAAAATTGAGTTACTTCAGGACTACAAAATTTATTGTTCTTCACGTTAAATATTTGAGTGAATTTCGACAATTAATTTGACAAACATACATATTAAAAATGTCCGTACAAAAATTAAATTTATGCAAATGAAGGGTGACTCTGATTCACTATAATTTGACACAAATGATTGATTTGAAAGTCTGAACCTAGACAATTATCAATTAATAAGACGTTGACTTCCAATCGATCCCAAATATTCTTGAGTATCTGGCCGTCGCTCCATAAATTGTCTCGGAACTGTCGCACTTCCTTCCGCATTTTTTCTTCTTTATATTTATCTTATATTCCTCGATTAATTTATATTTTCCTGAAACTGAGCCTTTAGGGATCGCTTCGATCATCGCTTTCAATCATTTGCATTTCCAAATTTATTAAAATTAAATCTCGAGTTTAAACCTGCTGTTTCGCTCGAATCTTATTTGTATATTCGAAATTGTATATTCGAAAAATATGATAATTTCAGAACTATTGCTTTTGACTATTTCATATATCTGTCAAGTTCCTATCTGTAAATACGGAATTTATATAATACAAAGGAAGGAATAAATTTCATTGAAGTTGTTTCAAGATTAAATAGAAACGAGCAGAACAGCAGAATTAAAACGGGCACTGTCATTCCCATTAATCCGAAGTCGACGCGCTCTCGAGAGGAACTGCGACCGTTCTGGTGGCCTCTATGTGTACATGTAAATGTATATGTATAAATATTAGTGAATATTTAGCGTATAACTTGCCTTCCAGATTCGTATATTGGTTGTGATTTGCTATAATTGCGAACGATTAGTTACCAGACAAAGTCGAAGATACGCGACGAGATGACAAAACTCGTTTCGTTCCAAAGTGTTTCAAGCAGCCTAAAAAGCAGATTCTCACCGTTAAACTGCTCAGACACGCGTGTCAACGTATATACACAGAGCGCAATAGGTCCATCGTTCTGCCGTTCACACCATACGATCGGATAGGGAATTCTAGGTGATAAAAACTTTATCGATAAAACACTCTTATGTGATTCACGAGTAATATCTTTCTTAGGGATAATATCATTCGTATATCGAAATGTGAATTCTTAGTTGATACGCCGCGTGAGACCGCGCGGTCGCAATTCTTACTAATTTCCTTGTTAGTAGCATATCCGTTTTTCTCGATGCATCAGGCGATGCATCCGTAGCACGTATTATAGGGAAATTAAAAATTTAGTAGTTAGCATACGGATTCGTTTTATTCAACGATTGACTGTCCGTTGAGAAATTCGATTGTATTACATGCGAAATTCTCTAGTGAGTAGAATCGAAAAGACTGAGGATTTTAGAAAACGCTCGCTTTGTCTCTCAGCGTTCGTTTTGCGTGTAAACGCCTCGCTTCACGCTCTCGATTCAGCTTCGATCAGAAGACGAAAATAAGATGAAAAAGAAGGAGAAGAAGAAAGAGAAAGAAGCAACAGAAAAGCCACCGTCCAGTGGTTCGTATTCGAATTATCACCGATTCTCTTGCTTGCGCGATGGATCCCGAATCAGTGGCGAATCGTAATAAAAAAAGAAAAACAAAAACTCCCCGGTATTTGCCAAAGAATTTAAACGACAGATAATGCTCTAGCGAAACTCTCTTCTCGCATGTAGTAAACGTTGGTACGACGTTAAGTGAAAACACGGAAAAATTACATCCGCGAGCAACGTGGTGAGATGCGATCATCGAGCCAGCGCGAGCGAATGTGATTTTTCTGCCTCTATAGCGATATGCGATTTTACATTCCGCTTTTGGAAGCAAAAAGAAATTGGAAATGGAAATTTAACCATTTCTATTTTGTTGTATTCACACGATCCGTTCTTGGTGCTACTTTTGGACGTGCTACCATCTCTCACAGATCCACAGATATACATATATATATATATATATA